AAAGAACCTACAAGCAGGTTCTAGGTATAGCAACTAGTGTAAAACCTTTAGATGAATTACTTAAATTAGACAATGACTAATATTGTACAAGTGGTTAGTTAAACACTCTTTTTATGATTACTCTTTGTAATTGTAATGCAACTATTAGCCAAATATACTATTAATAAAATCCTGAGTCACAAGTACTTACCTTAATATTTAAAAAAAAAATATATATACATTTTATGTAAATTTCAATTTACTAAGTATATACATATTTGAATTTAAATCTATTGTCAGATTAATAACATAAACATCAATTTATTGAAAAAATTTAAAAATAAATTCTTTTATTCTTTACAATTGATGTTAATAAACAAAATAAAAAATCAACTAAATAATTATATTTGCCATTTTAATAAATTATAAATTTTTTTTTTTGGTATGATTATTGTAATATTTATTATTTATAAATATAATGAATATAAAGAATTTTATTATCTTCAAATTTATTAAAATTTTTATATTTATGCTTTTTTATAAAGATTAATAGTTAATAAACTTGATTTTAAAAATATGAACATATTTATAAAAGTTATAAAAAAAACATCATGTTATATAGCTTAGATACTTCTTACTTTAAAGTTTTGATAGCTATCCTGGTCGAATAAGAAAAATATAAGCTTTTACTAACACAATATTAATATAAATATTTCAGAAAATAAGAATGACATTCTAATTATGTATTACTCTTCTTAAGGTTAGATTTTGTAAATCACTAATAAATTTATTATTATTTTCTTATTTTTTTGAAGTTGTTTTTAATAAAGTTGATCATATATATTAGAAAAGGCAATACAAAAATCTCTAAAATTTATTTCAGAATATTATATCAAACATATCAAGATTAATTTTATTATCATTATCTGTTATGTATATCAGTATATTGTATTATGATAATTAGCCACAGTATCTACTCGCTCTATTTAAGAATAACGTACATGTAAATATAATCTGTATAGCAAATTTTTATTTTTGCAAAAAATTAAAAAATGTTATTAATAAAACTTTTTAAGTTTACATTTAAATTTTATCAAATTTTTACAGTATATAGAGTTAAACATACTTTATCTAATGTATATATTTTACTTGATAAATTATTTTAAAAAAATATACTTGTATATATTGTAAAGTTCTTTGAGGTAAATTTAAATTCTCTGAGATAGACAAAATAATCAATTTTGATTAGCTAATACAATATAAAATTTTATCTAAATTTTAGAACTAAATATTTAAATATTCATATTTCAATAAATATTTAAATAATTTTAATAATTTTATTATTATTAGAATCATAAAGACCTGTTGCTTAAGAGCTAAAAAATAGTTTATTTAATAAAATCATAAGTAAAATAAGATATTAAAAAAATTGTATATTTAATTTATATATAATTTGTAAAAGTTGTACTCTACCCTTAAATGATCATTTATATGATTGTCTTTTAAGCCAGTTATTAAAATTGAAATTTCTTGCATCATTCAATTCGTCTTGGTGGGACGAATTGAATAACATAAGAATCATTAGATTCCAACTAACAAACCAAGTGTTATTTTCAATAAAATTTAATCCGCCACTTTTACCCACCCCCCTACTTCACCTTGATTAAAATTACTTGAAATTTTATTAGAATGCCTTATTTAATTTTTTAAATAAAAATGGTTAGTACTTAAACAATATATAATTATGTATTTTTTAAACTATTTTATTAATTTTTAAAGCTTGAACGAACAATTGGATATGGACAAAAAAGTTAGAAACGTATATCACTGCTATAAGATAGGTAAAATATCCAATAATTTTAACTAAAAGTCACGTTCTTATATAATATTATTAAAGCTGATGTGGATCAAAAAATGCTTGATTAAATCTTGAATCATATGAGTTTTATAAGACCTCGAAAAGGCACAAAAAAAGTCTGTACCGGGTTTTGTCGATCATTATGGCGCAGATTGTCAATCTACAAATCATATTTCAAGGATCAGGTGTAACGTAACACGATCAGAAAAGTTCAAAACAAACGTTCGTTTTGTCAAAGATTGCTTATTTCTTAAAAACTGCATAAAAAACCACTTTTAGTGCTCTAACAGAAGGTTTTCCTTGAGCAATTTTACTATATAACTATTCATTATTTAACTTATTCTAAACGCTAACCCGAACGTTAATGAACTTTAAACAATTTTGCTGCGCCACCAACCTGGCACAGAATTTTTTCGTGCCTCGAAAAGTAAGTAAAAATTTATACCGTATCGTCGCGAAATAACGCCCTGGGGCGTTATTCGAGACACATTGCTTGAAGAGAGCTAATTATTAATTTAAACGAATGAAAATCATAATTTTTGGTTATTAAAAGTCTTTGGCTAAATTAATTATTTGCTCTCTTCAAGCCATGTGCCCCTAAATAACGCCCTAGGGCGTTATTTCGTGACGATGCAGTAAGGTGCCAAAAATGATATTTTCGGGTAGGCAACTTAGCCTTTATATAACACCAAGTATCCTCATGTTATGATTTATGAGAGTTCCGCTGCATTTGTTCACAAAGTTGCAGGCAAATTTACCTGTCAAACGGTGTAAAGGATAATATGAGACACCGGGGTGTTCGATGTACTATGTAAATCAAAACTATATATGATATCGTAAAAATTTAATATTAGACTTTTGTAAACAATAATTTTTAATTAGATGTACAACCTTTACAACCAAAAATCATGAATCCAAATTTCGAACAGATCAATATAAAGTTTCAGTAAACAATGTTACAGAACGAAATTTATATTTAGTTAAAAATTATTTCAAGCGATCCAGATAGCAAGTGCATTGAAAAACAGGTTATTTTCCACATATAATGTAAAAAATGTTGTAATCAACTTATACAACTTTGGATAAAAGGAAAATGCAACCTGCGCATCTAAAAATGTGAGATCGGTTTATATATATATACAAGTACTTCTGCCGATCGAAGATCTTAAAAATATCCGATTATAACTACATATAATTTTGATTTACATAGTATTGAACATCCCAAGGAAACACCCATATATGTAAATTCAAATTGCAGTATTTTTTAAACCAGTAGATATATACAAATAAAGTTATACAAATTTAAATATAATTTACCTTTTTAATATGTTGAGATTTAGGGTTAAGGTATAGGTTTATATAAAAGAAACTCTACCCTAAAATTCTATCAAATATACTTCAACTATTAATATTGACATAAACTAGCATTAGGATTACGTATGCGCATAGTGGGTGAATTAAAAGTCTAGGTCGACAATTAGAATAGATTAAGTATTTGTTAATTAACGTTATTATGCAACTTTAAAATATTTGGTTATCATAAGATTTTGTTTGTTCAGGACCTCGAATTTGCAAAATTCTGTCAAAGTCCCGACAAACAATTGAATCCAATGTTAATTAGGGGTCTGCGCGGTACATTGGCACCAGGCCGGGCACTAGTGCCTTATGCCGTGCCTGTGCATATAAGCACAAAAGTACCAGGCACTATTAGCACAAGGTGCCGGGCACAAATGCCAGGCAAAGTGCCAGGCACAATTAAATAATAAGCATCCAATTTCTGTGCCTGTGCCTGTGCCCATGCCCATGCCGAGTTTTTTGTGCCTGTGCCCATGCCTGAGTTTTCATGCCCATGACTAGATTTTTTGTTGGGCACAGGCACGAGCCCAGGTTGCAAACCCCTAATGTTAATCTTGTCAGAATTTTGTTCGGCTCCTGGGTTTCATCCAAATACTAAGAAATCCTCTACTAATGCAGTTATTTTCGTTATTTCTTAAGAGCACTAGAAATTTGTCGATCATTCGGGCTAGGTTGATCGACATCGACCTGCATTAAACTAATTTAAGGTTAGATAAAACTTGAAAGACTTGTACTAAAATTATGAGAGGAATCTGTTTTGTTAAAGCACAGTTTCATAAGCTATAATTTAAAGATAGGAATTTTTTCTTTAATTTTGTCGATCATGATCGACAAAGCTTGGCATAAATCTTTTGATTGCGTACATAAATACTGTTACACAAGAATGCAATTATTGGAAATGTGCACTTAATAGATAGAAAAGTACACTAATGGAAATGTGCTTACGGAGAGTTGACTGTTTCTTAATTTTTCCAATTTCAATATCTATGTAATATATCTATTTAATATATCTATTTAATATATCTATTTAATATATAATCTATTTTATATCTATTTAATATATTTTGTGTTTACGGATATTTTTTCTTATCTAACTACCAAAAAGTTGGATTATACGTACGGATTGCAAAAACAATTAGGCATGCACAAAGAACTTGAGCATATAATTACATGACTAAAATGAAAGATTTTTCTACATTAAAAACAGTTAATAATATAAGCTATAGGAATTTGTCACATGATTATTACGCAATATTATTGTGCGATTCTATAAACATTAGATCTTTTATTGCTTATATTGATATTGATATACATAGAACGGGCTTTAAAAATGTAAGGCAAATAAATAATGATGTACTTCATAAACACACTGAGTACAGTGGTTGCTATAAACCTAAATAATTGATTCGTGTAAACTTTTATCCAGAGACTTTAACAGGTTAGTTGATTTGTTAGAAAATGAAATCCGTTTTGGGAATTGTTCATTCGACATAGGCACAAGATCAGTAATTTATCCGGAACTTTCCGACCTAACACTTGATTTGTTCATATCTTTACATCCTAATATAAACAAATTTCCATTATATAAAGACGCTTAGCATTAAGAATTTCCCAAAAAAATTGTTTGTTGTCTATGATAGTAAATTTAAACACATTAATTTTTGCTCAATAATCGTCATTTAATAAGCATATAATCAATATAAATAAATAATTTAATAAATAAATATATAAATATATATATATAACATATGTTTAATAATTATAAAAATTGATAAATTATTATTTTACCTATTATCATCGATTTACGATGTTGTTAAACGAAGAGTCTAGTAAACGGCGTAGGGTGGCCAGGGCTTGTGATTCCTGTAGAAGAAAGAAAGTTCGATGTGATGGTGTTCAGGCCGGTTCTGATCCACCATCCTGTACTAATTGTAGGACTTATGGTTATGAATGGTATTGCTATATAATTCTTAATTCTTTTACTGTCTAATTCTATCATCCTAATTATCTTATCACTTTGATCTGATTCCTGTTTCTTTAATAGCTCTTTTATTGATGCTCCAAAAAAGCGTGGTCCTCCCAAGGGTTATATAGAAGCATTAGAAACAAGACTTCAAAGAATGGAATCTGTCCTTGGAAATTTGGTTCAATCCGGTGACTTGCCCGAAAATGCAATTAGTTCAAGTCTTGAATGGATCAACGTCAATGAAAGCAACTTTCGATCGTTTCAAAGTTCGGCTACTAAGAGTCTTTCCTCAAAAAAACCTTATGATTTTTCGATTCCTCGTGCCGCACTACCTTCAAATTCAAAATCATCTACAAATCTTGTGAAACATAATAAATCTCTTCGTGATCAAGACAGCGATACTGAAAATACCTCATCAAGTGATAACGATCCCGTTTGTGATTTAAGTGATTGTTTCGGTCAACTTACAATTGACGATGAAGGCCATACAAGATATATCGGATATAGTTCTGGATATTTCTCTTATATAAAAATTTTTAGAATAACTTCTGATGCTGAATTTCTACATGTTCCTAATTTTAATATCCGATTACCTTCTGTAAAAACCGTTGCTCAAAGGGCGATATCGGAACTTCCTCCAAAAGAATTATGCGAACAATTATTAGATGTTTTCTGGAAATATGTTCATCCTTACCTTGTTTTCATTGATAAGCATGATTTTTTGGAAAAATATAATGATTTGGAAAACAATTATACCACGATCATCCTTCTTTACGCTATGTTCGCGAACGCTTCGTTTACACTTGACATTCCAGATGTTTATAAAAATCCTGATGATCCATATTCCATTGGTATGTTTGACTGTTTTTTTTTTAAAAAGATAGTCAACTTATGTGTTGATACGTATCTTAATGGATTCTATATTCTATTATTCTATTATTCTATATAATATATAAGGCAGGGAATATTTCGATCGTGCAAGAGAATTACTTAAAAATGTGTTCGATAATGTATCAATAACAATCGTTCAGGCACTTATATTATTATCTACGTATCATAGAAGTGCGGATGATTCAGTTACTTGGTTATACAGTGGAATGGCCATTCGTACAGCCCAAGAGATGGGACTACATCGTAATCCGGTAAAATGGGGTTTTAGTGCAAGACAAATAGAAATTAGAAAACGTGTATGGTGGGCTTGTGTTATAAGTGACATAGCTACGAGTGCTTCTTTAGGACGTGTATGTAAAAATAATAATAATTATAATCTCTATATGATTTATTATGCTTTATTTAGATAATTTAGTAATGTAAAAAAAATTTTTATTATTTATATTCTTTAATAGCCACTTGCTATTTGTGAGATTGATTGCGACGTTGACTACCCTACTCCCGGTATAATACCCGATGAGCCACGACATTTTGTTGAAAAATGGATCGAATTGATAAAGATAATGCTGATACTTGGACGTGTGATCACACATATTTACAGTACAAAGTCTAGACAAATTTTGAATTCCAATAATAATAATATATTAGTTTCATTGGATGCTGAATTAACTGAATGGCGTGAAAATCTTCCACCTGAACTTCAATATGATTCAACTGCTCCATATAATATAATTGACAGTCGACAATTGCATATTCATGTTCTATATTACGCATGTCAAATTCTTTTGCATCGTCCCTATATTCATGGCCCAAAATCAAAAGCATCTTCATCTATTCCATCTCTCACCATTTGTACCATGGCCGCAAATAACATTACACATATTATACATCGTTTGATGAAAATAGGCCTACTCAAAGCTTCATTACCTCTTTTAACTCCCTCTTTTCTTGCTGCTTCTATTATACACATTATAAATGTTGTTAGTGATGATGATCGATTCAGAGAAGTTGCAAAGCATGGTATTAGAATGACTTTGAATTGTCTTAATTATGCGAAGGCTTTTTGGTCTAAAGCTGAAAATTGCGAACGCGTATTGAAGGGTTTATTAAGTGCTAAAAATATTACTATCGATGGTGTTGACGGTATTTTTGATAATATTAGAGCTCCTCCTAACAACCCATATTTTAAGTATAAACCTAAAGTTCCCGCTGAGTCCGATAAGTCACATAACACCTTTTCTCCATCTCAGGTCCCATCACAAACGGAATCAATGCATATCATTAATCAACCTACTTCGACTGTCGCTAATACTCATGGTATCAGAGATTGTAATAATACACAGTCGGTTAATTCTCTTTTAACGGGTTATGAACGAATTTCTTCTCCAGAATCTCCTTCTAACTCAAGATTTACGCGATTTAATGAATTTCCCATGAACATAAATAATGGATTGTTTTCTCAGAATACTGATTCTTTCACTTCGGATGTTTCTCCACTTTTGTTTGGAGATCATGATGATTCGATTAATGAAAATGATTCTTTTTTACCATTTCCTTCTTCAAATGATTTGAATGAGTGGACTAACTGGACGAAATACATGATAAGATTACAAACTTTAAAAACATCTAATACAAATAATAATAATTTAATTCCAAGTCAAGATGATATTTTGACATCCTCAGATAGTAATATTAGTTCATCTGTAAAAAGTATGTTTGCTTCGATGACTAGTTCTCGTGATCGTATGGATTATAATAAGCGATAATGGTTATTTATTGTTATTGTAAATGTTTCGGTATAACTAATAAATATTTATTTAAATAAAGTAGTATAAAATTTTTTTATTTTTTAAAAAAAGCTTTATATTCGAATCTGATGTAAACTGAATAGAATACATATCTTTATTGTATATATTTCTATATATTTCTATATATTTCATTACATTGTAATATCATTTTTATATTAACATTCTTGCTTATAAATTTATAAATATTTATTTATTTATTTATTTATTTATTTGATATAAACAAGTTTATTTAATAAAAGTTCTAACACTATTACAGTAAAAAGCTTCGTTCAAAATGTATATTTAGTGTTTAAAATGAACTTTATAATAAATTTTAAATTTTCAAAGTTCACTTTAGACAGAATTTATTCGAACTCTCGTTATAGTGAACTCTTGATATAATGAACTCTTGTTATAGTGAACTTGCGATATAGTGAAGACTAGTGATGGGACCTCTCAAATTATTAATAATTAATTATTAACATTTGGCCGAGTTATTAACTAAAAACTACTTAATAATGTATGACTTAGTGAATTGATTTAAAACTATATAATAACAGTATAATAACCAAAAGTCAATTATCTACGTGTTGTAAAGCTTGATTTCTTTACGATTTTTTTGCATACAATTGTTTATTAATGTGATCGCATAGGAATTATTAACAATGATCGAACTTATTAATTATTACTACGTAACTATTGATAATTATTGATGTTTTTATTATTAACTAAAAACTCGAAGGTCCCATCACTAGTGAAGACTAATTAAAATCTCAATATAGTGAAGTCAAACTCAAAGCCAGTTTATATAATTCTATTGATATAGTGGATATACCGAATTTTTATATGTACGTTCTGACATCACATAAGGGTTAGGGTTAGTATTTGATTAGTTGCAAGAATAAATTTTTGGCAAATTGTCACATGAAGTGATGGCTGTCTACGGATCCTATTTATTAGGTGCTCGATTGTTCTGGTTTTGGTTCAAAGAGAACCAACTGGATTATTTTTTTTAATTCAGAAAGAGATGTGCAAGCAAGTTATATTTGTGCAACTTGCACACTATGCAAGTAATTGTGCAAGTTTGTGCGCAAGTAATTATGCAAGTAATTGTGCAAATAATTGTGCAAGTAACTTTCATTTTGAATTTTAAGCATTGATTCGGTTTCTAACTTCGTTCTAATCTTTTTTTGTATTTATCTATTTTTAATATGAGTACCGCCTAAATGCTAATCAACGAGATATTATATAATACTTAATTGATAATGGACCTTGTTTTATCAGCAGCCATGATATGTAACTTGAACTAAATTACACTTATTTTCAGAAAAGAAATCCATTTATATAAATGTTACATTTAATCTTCCTAGCATAAACACCAAAATTATCAATGAAACACCAATTAAAATCAGGTCGTTATAATATTATTAGCTAAATAAAAGGATACCGATATCATTAAAAACCGGTATATAAAGTATGGAAGATTTTGTAGTAGAAAGAGACATAAAAATATGATTTTACGATAATCAAGTTTACTGTGATCGGAGATTTGGCTAATAATGTGCAAATCTCCTAAAAATTTTTTTTGTGCCAAGAAATTTATGTGCCGGAGTTTATCCGCATCTTATGATTGCAGTTTTTTTTTAATGAGTTTTATTATAAAAATTTTTAAATTGATTTGTCTTCGGAAGGTGCGACTAATAAATTTAGTCAGTTTTGATAGTATTCAATTGAATACGTAAATTGTATAAACTGTAATTTAGGTAGTCTTAAAAACTTTTACAGTAATTTCACAAAAATTGCAACATATATTTTTTATTAGTCAACCCTATTCTTAAACTATCGTTAGTAGAAGATGTTTTTATTTTACTCATCCGTGATCTATGCTCTTGGAAGATGTTCACTTTCTTTAGTTTTTATATTATATCGTTACGAGCAAAAAAGTGATATTTCCAAAAATAAAGATAAAACTGCGATATAAATCTAGTGAGTAAATAATTAAGACACCACAAATGCCGAGGCTTTGAATCTTCAGTTATGACACATGAGGCTGCCGGCCGAATTGATAATATCGACCAAGTAAATAGACGCGAAGCTAAAACATTTTCAATGAAAGATACGCGTGGTAGTATGTTGAAATTCTAAGCAAAGCCTTAAACGAAAGCATTAAGGAGGAATGGTCAAAGCCCTCTTATTCATACTTCCAAAAGTTATTTAAAGGGCATAATGGTTACACCCTTATGTGCGGGAAGGAGCACGTCAGGATCACTATAATAAACTTATACAAAACTCAAATCATCATAGTCACGCCTTTGACAAGTTGCTTTACTCCATTTCCCTTGTAATAGTTCATATTATCGTTATATGTTAAATCCACTCCGTGACAGTGTCTAATATAAAATTTGATTCAATAACTTTTAAGCTATTTCTTTTGTTGTAAGAATATTGTAGGCTTTTTGACAAGATTAAGCACCGACACATAAATCTATCAACTTAAAAGTTTATTGTATACTGTTGCATTTAGTGCCTCGAATGAGTTGACCTAAATGACATGTTTGTATCCGGTATCTTAAGTGAGAAACCCACAGATTGTTTACCTATATTCAGGTTACCCATAACATTGCTTGAAGAGAGATATTATTAATTTAACCGAATGTGAATCATAATTGTTTGATATTAAAAATCTTTGACTAAATTGATTATTAGCTCTCTTCAAGCCATGTGTCCCTAAATCACCCTCCGGGGGTGTTATTCCACGAAAATACGTAAAGATACTACATTATTTTCCTGGCTCATTTTAGTACTCGGGTACGCGTGTAGCGGATAAATACGGTAGTTAACAACTTTTCCAACTAATCGATTTAGGAAAGATTTGAAACAATTAATCGATTAAAAACAGGTGCGACCGATGATCCCGATATCAGTCAGACATATTAAAGCTGAGCACCTAAACCCAAACCTTCCTAAACTTTTTAGGTTTAGGTTATAGTATTAGCTAGTTTTGAATTTGACATTTTTTACCTAAATCCCAAATTCTAAATCCTAAACTAAAACTTAAATCCCAAATTAACTTCTAAATCCCAAACTAACTCCTAAATCCCAAACTAAATTCTAAATCCCGAACTAATTTCTAAATCCCCAACTAAAATTCTAAATCCCAAACTAACTCTTAAATCCCAAACTAAATTCTAAATTCCAAACTAAATTCTAAAATTTTAAACTAAATTCTAAATTTCAAACTAAATTACTAATTAAACTAAAATTAATGATTAGATCTAGAGATATGTTTTATGTATGCATATGATTCGCATTTTATCCTATCTAATTTTTATATAAGAAAATTAAAATATATATAATTTAGGCCAGAGTACATAATACCAAGTAAAATTAAGAAATAAGAATATAAATATTTTGAAAAAAATCGAAAGGAAATGAATGAACATGAAGGACGAGCAGGGTCGAGACAAAAATTGAACAAATATATAATATTTTCTGAAAGTAAAATATAAATTCAAGGTGTATTTTTCCATCTCTAATTAGACCCATTCAAAAATGTGACCTGGATGAAAAATTAAATGTAATTCAAACTTAGATATTGTACCAATCTAACATTATATTTCTGACTTAGAGTTATTCAAATTCAAGTTTCAAATCAATATTTAGTGATAATAATATTCCTTAAAAAGATACTTAGAATAGTTCTGAAGTCTATTACTCATGATTTTTATTCATGTTGATTTCCAGTAAGTATAAAAATATTTGCGTTTAAATCTAGGATTAAATAAATATTGTGAATGCTAATCTTTAAATTTTACAATTGATAACTATAAGAAAATTCCGAATATTAAAAATGTACATATCGTGATAATATGAGTAAAACATAGTATCTAACACACATCGATTACATGAATGTATAATTGAATGTATTTCATCTGACAGTGTAATGGTGAAGAATAGTATGAGATATTTAATACGCGAGATTGAATTGAGACACTAAAAGAAATAAAAAAAAAAGATCATGTTAGTAGAAGGGTAAAATTAAAAACAGTTTAGATAAAAACCAAGAGCGAAATTAGAAGATCGATTTATCACGTATTACATATGACCCATGTGATAGCATGACCAAAAATGATCTAATTAATGTAAAAAAATGCAAAAGTATATGTGGTTTTTTCTTGAAAAATCAAATATACGAAAGCAAAAATAAATAGATACTTGCACCTAATATCTCTATTGTACGGTAGTTCTATGCAGTGATTATTGTTTAGCTGATCGATTAGTAATATTTGTCATTAATTAACCTACGATAATAGATTAGATAATATTAAAATAATTGAAGAGAGGTTCGACTCTATTTCTGTGATCTGATTAAATTGTATACGAAGGATTGATGTGATTAGGCAATTACAAGAGCATGTGGGTTAGAAAAGAGGGAAATCAACAAATTTTTAAAACTTATTTTTTTGCATAAATCAATTTAGAATAAGACACAAATGTAGTTGTCTTAATAAAATCTTGTAAAATAACTTTTTGAAATTTGTATTTTCTTATGATTTATTATAAAATTTATAACATTAATATTCCGAAGATCTTTTTTTTTGTTAATTTCCCTTCCTTTCCTGTAGAACACAGCCCATGTATTCAAGACCTTATCTAGTCTTTTTGAATTTGAATTTGAATTTCTGAAAGAGTAAGTTAAATCGTTATCTATTGTACAGTTTATTAAACTAATTCATTTATAAATTTATAAAGTTAACAACTATAAAAAATGTAGATTACGGAATAATAGTATGGATTAACTTAAAACAGAAACAAATGGGCTGCCGTCAATAGAAATCAAGCAAATCTACATTTGAAAAAAAATTAATGCCTTAACTTTCACAGCTCATATCTCGATGGATTTTAAAGCTATCTTGATGGTTTAATATTCAAAAGAAAGCTTAGATCGTAAGCTTCCTTTTGAATATTAAACCATCAAT